TTTTTATACCTTTCGTACAACCGAGAGGAAAACTGCATGTATCAAATGGAGGATACGTACCACCACATATTTCCGATGGAAACCATATGTTTAAATTTGTCATGTCATTTGATAGTGTGTAACCCTGTGCAAATCCGCGCAATACTAATAGAGACTTTGAAAGAATCGAGTTTAAAAAGTACACACACTTCCATTGAAGACCCGTAAACCTTACAAACCGTGTTTTTCCGAAAAATCGTGTTCTACAACGCAAACACTCTCTAGGTTAATTTTTATCAAATTGAAATAGATGATAGGTTTCGATTCACAGACTTTTTTTGAAGCGTTGCTTCACTATAGGAGCCGAGATTTCGGAAATAAACCTTTTCATGTGTGTCGGAAAGTTCCTTAAAAATTTTCGGAAAATGTTTTTACCTACAACCAGTTTTTCAGAGTACGGTACCGATGACCTTACAGAACACGATGGACATTTGTAATCGTGCTAAATTTTGCGATAAAGAACTACTATTTCTAGTTCATCCATAAAAGCACGTTTCTACATGGAACGACTGATATTCAATAAGTTGTTTCTAAAATGAGCCAGAAATAGGACGTTTCTCGTTGCAAAATGTGGCCCGATTTAGTGCATTGTGGCCTCCTCTTTTCGCTTCTTTCTTTGATGTTGACCGTCTACAAAGTAAGAGACTTTAGTCCTCAAAAACTTGAAACTGAAGTCTTGATATCAGAGCATAAAGAAGTATTATGCGAATAGTCTGGGACAAAAATTTTCATTTTGAAAACTTAAATTGCTTGGCATTTTTGTGCTTAACAATCTGCTAAACACTTTTTAATGCTCCGGTACCAAGAACTCATTATCAGTTTTTTGTAAACTAGACTCCAGGTCCATTTCATCGTAGACGGTCATACAATCAGTTAACTTTTGAATTTTAAGTAAAGCTCGATTGCACTATTGGCAGTCATAAAAACAAAGGTAAAAACAGCGTCATAGCACTCTAAAACTCATTAGCGGGGAGAACATAATTCACAAAAAAGAACACAGTGACAATTAAATGCTGTATTTTTCCACCGATTACAGGTTACACGGGGGCTAACAAATGCGTCAGTTTTGGTTTCTACGAAAATTATAGATAAAAAGTTTTAAAAAAATGAGCATGTTCAATTTATTCCTTCGGATGGATGGTGTGCTGTGTAGACTGATCCTAGTTTCGGGAATAGTTTCATTTCCAGCATTGATTTTATTCTATTACACTCATCAGAGGCTTAAAAAAAAATAAATTTAAATACCTGATTAAATCTCGTCTGGCTAACGATTTTTTGTACTTTCACCGAAAAAATAAATGACAAATCACAGGAATTCCAGGATAAAGAAGAACGTAAAACACTAAAATCAATTCACAATTTTTCCTCTTTTTTGAAACGAATTAAAGAAAACAATACTGCTCCAAAGGGAAGTTATGCTTAGTTCCATCAAAAGTCTAAAACAACAACATACCGAAGAATAAGTGCAAAGAACTTTCTTAAAATAATACAAAGTTTCGTATCAATTGAATGAAAGTATAGCCGTAATCTACAAGAAGTTCGATTCTGGATATTCAGAGAAACCTCGAAATTGTTTAACTCCTTCCAATTTTCCTTTATTAAACGACAGGTTAGGCCGGAACCAACGGTCCTGCATTATTACAAACACTGAAATGCGCAGTCCAACTGTACATTCTGCCTGCGCGCGCGTCCAGAATGTACAGTCGGCAAAGGCCCACTGCCGACTGTCAGTCTCTGCGCATGCGCGAACTGTCAACTATACAGTTGGGGACTACTGGTGTGATAGCCACATAAAATTGATCTTTTGAGAAATGAATGAGGTGACAATATGCTTCACGTGGGCCCCTTGACTCCTCCCCCTCCCTTGGAACGCTGACGTCATTTTTCGGCCGTTTCACGAGATTTATCCCATGGAAAAATCCCACTTACGAAGTTGGGCATAATATTGAGTAATCAATATTTTTCCCAGTATCAAGTATGGTCCTTTTGCCTTTAGGGCCCACTGAGAGAAGAAGAAGAAGTGTAAACGAATTATGCGATATTTTGTTGATTACTCCATTGTTCATGTTTGTATAGTTAAAATAATGTTTCTAATTGTCAATTGAGTGCAATTATTATTTTATTCCCGGTTAAATACTCGACTTCAACGAAGTTATCTTCCCGCGCAAACTAGTCGCAGGACCGTATGAGCCTTGTCCCGTGGAGACGGTAACCGGGAAAAATCCCAGAAGTTTCATTCCTGCGATTCGAACTTGGGACAAATCCCATGAAAACGTCCCGTGGAGACAAGGCCTTCGGGGGGCCCTTTCCTAGTGAACGATTGCATGTGAATAAATCGATAACTGTCCAAAATCGATACCTGTGAGTAACGCAAGTTTGGATGAATCCATCGTCATGTAAGTAATTCACGTTAAATTGTTCGAATGATCTACGGTTTGCGAAGGTTGTCATCTTGAATTTCCGGGAAATTTAACCGTCACGTCGATTTCCTCCGAGCGCGAATTTTTCCCGCCTTTGATTTTCCTTTCGTATCGAGCCACGCAACAGATGCAACTTCCGAGAATTCGTGGATTCGATCGTACAGCGTCGCCGACGCAGCTTTTCACGTCAAATGCATCGCAATCCGCCGGCGAAATGGAAAATGACGTGGCCACCGGCAATTTCCCGGAACGCATGACAAATCCGAAAATGGAATGCGTGTCTCGTCCCGACACCCATCGCTCAGTTCGAGCAGTCACGAGATCCGAGAAAAAGCGGAAATAAATCTATTTCGCTGGGCGCTATATAAACGATACCGAAGGCCGCATGAACCACTCATTCATTTAGGTATCGTGAGTGCAACACCTAATGATGGATATTAAACACGGTGGTGCTTTTATCGTAGCGGCCCTGGCTCTAATTTTACAGGTATGATTATTTTAAATCAGCTTAAGAAAAGCACAGAGGCCCTTAAAATCTATTCTGGTAATAAGTGTGCTGCACGCTGAGGATACAGCTAAACTGAGTGTATTTTTCTGGGTAAACCGTAAAAAAAGCACATGTTACCAGGAACTAGTGAAATATACCTCAAAATACATACTTAGCACAGTTCTTTTCATTTTTTGTCGAAGTGCATGCCTGTTAGAAAAGTGGCCATTTTTGGGGAAACTTAGGGACTTCGTTCAGACTAATGTACCCTAGACGAAACCTTGTGATGATGCAAAGTTCACATCTGTTACCATTGATAAATGCTAATATTTTGAAATAACTTGAATTGTTGGCTGTGTCGCTTTTGAGAAATAGACTCGTCGAGGTGACTTTTTTTGTGAATTTCAAAAGTAATTTGTTTCCTTATTTCTTCTTTCTCTCTCTATTGCTCAATAATTGATGAGAACATGAATCATCACCGTTTTACCAGATTGAATATAAACTTTTTGGCAAGGTAAAGTATTTCTCCACCGCCTTTATCCCACCCTGTTTCAATGTTTCCAATCATTGACAATTTCTACATGATTTAAGCAAAACATACCGTAGTAAGCTATTGCGTCGCCCGTGCACTGTGGCTGAATGCAGTGGCGAGGCGTGAATGATCGATTATCGATATTTCCCCATTTGAAGCTGAGGAGAATAATCGATTATTAAGGTGTTCGTTTCGACCACCCTGTTTGTCGATCCTTTTTCATGGGTTTAAATGGCAGATCAATCGATACATCACGCCATGCCACCGACTGAATGCCTTCCACAATTCATTATTAAAACGAAGCCCGCTGGATGATGAATTTGCTACCAACCTTGCGGGAACGTTAAATTCCAATTTCAGCATGAAATTGCATCAAAGCAACATTATTTTCTTCCAATTAAAGCCAACATTGATACTCCGAAATGCGCGTTCATTCCTGATTTAATTGAAGTCGAGATATAATTGGACGCGAAGTGAACGTTCCTGTGATTTTCCTCTGCAATTGATTTTTCACCTTATATATTCTCTTTAACACGAGGTTTTCATTAAAGGGATGTCAATTCTTTCTAAATATTAGGCTGCATTCATCGGTGAGAATGTATCTGCTCTAAATAACATTTGGATGCATTTAAACGAAAGACTGTTTGCATCGAGAGTCCAGGAAAAAGACGCGTGGGAAATATTTCAGAACGCTAATCAAGACATATGTATTAGATATACTAGTATATAAGTAATTAGTTACACCATAAAGAACTTATACTCCAAACCTCTGGTTGCAGGTTTCTGGAGTTTTTGGTTTCACGTCAGAGTCAGAAAGAAGTTTGTTCTCTAGAGCCGTGGAGACTACGGATTTCGGCCCCGTCACTCAAAAAATTAGTCAACTCATATGGAAGGATGCAGCGGCCTGTCCAATTGCAGCGGCTTTCGCTCAAATCCGGCGTTTGAATAGCGAGAAAGCAGGTTCTTAATTTTTCCAGAGTACTGTCATACTCGGATTGCATTTTGCAGAAAGGAATCAAGAGCCTCCCTTCCAAGTCACTATGATTGTGCAAATGTTTTAATACGTTGCAAATGTAAACTGACCGTCTACTAAAGTTTTAATTTCATCCCTTATACGTTATAAATTCAATGTGAAAATTATTTTGCACAATTTCAATAATTTTATTGCAATGAATGTAAGTTGCACAGACCCAACAACATTGGAATGCTCTTGGTCCCTTTTTGCAAAATGCAATTCACTTTTTCTAACCCATGGTAGAATTTTTGCAGCTCTGACAGTACAAGAAACTCATTAAAATGTAACAAACAATGAAGAAAACACCTGAATCCCCACACTATGCAGCCAAATTCAAAACAACGTTTGTCACATCATGTCCCAGAATGGTCACAATCTATATTTATGACTATTGTAAAGCATTTCAAAGAGCTTTACATAACGCAAACATACAGACAAAAAAAAAACAAACATAAAATTCATCCAGATTTCCAGATTCACCAAATTTCTATTCTTCGATTATCAACGGACATCCTTTAGAAAAATGGTGATTTGGCAAAATCTACGCCGATATTACATACCATGTTTTGTTCGACCTTGGTTTAGGGATGATATGCTTATAGTGTGGTAATTGCAAATGCCTGATAAGTGAAAGATGAGAAGATTAACTACAAATAGCTAGCACTTCGGATGACGCCGATTGCCAGAGAAGATACCTCACCTGTTGAACATTTAAGTCAGAGCTTGAGCTTTGGACAGACTTTTACACTGTTCCGACCTATCATAGTTTTGATGCCCAAATTACAACTTTTACCAGGGAAAATTATCCATTTTAAATCAGAACTTGGGCTTCGGATAGATGTTTGCTCTTTTAAATCCATCAAAATTTGATTGCCAAATTACGACTTGTACATGAGTAACTGATCCAATTTAAGTCGGAGCTTATTGAGTTTTGGACAGATTTTTGCACTCGGTCATCACAGTCATTTTAACTTTGTTACATACATATCAAGCCGCTACCTCAGCGCACTAGAGTGCTCTGTGACTCCAAATCGCCATCGGAATCGATCCTCCCACAAATCATCGAGCAGATTACACCGTCTGATCTCCCCCTCCACTCCCTCCCGCCAACCTTATATTGTTTTATTTATTTTACTGGGTTTTTTTTTTATTTTTACTTTTTTAACTTTGTTCTTGTGTTTAATTTTTGTCACGAATTCACTTCTCACAGTTGAAAACGCACTGACCAAAGCTCTGAGTCTTGACCCGTCGATCGTCGTGAAAGCCAAAGCAGACGGTGTGAGGGATGTGATCTGCGAAGCTTCTCAAAAGTTCCGGACACAGCTCAACGCGGCCGTGTCTTTTGCGAAGAGCACTGCCGAAGAGCCAAGACCTGAATTCACGGAAATCGTGGACAACCCATGGATTAACGATGAGCATTACGAGGACGCTATAAAAAATCTCAAGAAAGGTTACTCACAGGTACAGTATGACGTTTTTCAAATATAACTCGCAGCTTAGCGGTAAGCGAAGGTGTCGAATTTGACCTATTTTATACGAGAGTTATCTTGACGTGGGTAAAAATTCCAAGAATATTTCTTTGAAAGTCACATCATGACGTCGTTGGTAGTATTAGAGTTTCTACAAGCATAGGGGTTTTATGATTCAACAAACTGTCTTGAGTGAAATTTCGTGGAAAACCGAATGGTGCCATAAGTAAGATGCTAACTTGCAAGAAAATACGTGAAAGAGGTAGTAATGCCATTGACAATTTGACATACTCAATTTACAAAAGTTTTCATCTGTCCTCCGTGATTCGTTTGAATTCTTGCGGCGAGTCATAGCGTTAAAATTAGCAACTACGTCATGTCTAGGGGTCAGAAAAAGTATCGTTCCGACCCTTAAAGACTTCACATGGAGGAGTAATTTGGCCTTGGCTCCCTTAATCTCTCTTATTACAGTCGGCGTTGTGTCCGCATTACGGACTCATCTAGACGATGTTTGTGATTTTATTACTTTGATGGCTGATTTTCATATATATATTTACATCATCGTAGTTCTTGAACATGTTTACACATCTTACTTTATTAAGCGCCCCTAGAAAATAGATGATGCAAGTGGCATTCTTTAAAACAAATTTATACTAGTGAAATGTGATAAAACTTTTTTTGAAGTATACTTCGCCAAAAATTGTACCTTAGGCCTTGTCCACACGAGCGCGGTTCGCGGAACTTATTCCGAGGAACTTGTTCCCGGAACAAGTTATAGCTGAGCTAAAAACTTATTCCTCCAAAACCCGGAACTTTCCCCGTACTCCGAGCTTCTATATATGTTTCTTTTGATGTGAATTTGTTTGTTTTTGTTTTTTACGTCCTTAACATGTCTTGACTTTTATTTTTGTTACTTTGGCGGCCGTAATAATCTATTATTTTGCGATAATTGTATAGTTTTATTGAAGTTCCGGTTTCAGTTCGGGCGAACTTGTGTGGACAGCATGCCTCGTTTCAAGGAATAAGTTCCGGGAACTGAGCAGTTCGTCGAATAAGTTCCTCGAACCGCGCTAGTGTGGACAGGACCTCAAAAACTCGATTTTTAGTTCCAGACGATGAGTTCAAACTTTTTACACTCTTGAAACTCAATACTTTCAAAATTTCATCATAAAAAAACACATTGAGGAATGAATAAACTACATTTTGCAACAGGGAACGGATATTTTTGGCTCATTTTAGGAACAACGTATTTGTTAGATCAGTGAAGTGTACGCGAGCTGGACATAAAACTTATAAAAACATTTGTGTTCTTGTGTTATATTTTTGGTTAGTGTAGGAGTTAAAAAGCAAACTAACCCAAATTTTGTGTTGATATTGGTACAGTTTGTGGCAAATTCAGTGGAAAAAACAACGGAGAGACTGGGAAACCCCAGATACGTATAATCAAGCTTTTGTGTGGAATTTTCTCTCTGTGTACCAGTTCCTTATTGCGAAATGTGGTCAAAAATCTCCCGAAATACATTTCATATTCTTAGTGGCGAGAAGTAAGTGATCGATTGTCAACATTTCCCCATTTGAAGCGGTGGTAGAGAATCGATTATTTTGGTGTTCGTTGTGAACACCCTGTTTATCGATCCTTTTCCATACGTTTAAATGTCAGATCAGCCAATATATCGCACACCACGCTCCGCCGTTGTACGAGGAGAAAAAAACTTCGTGCATAGGACCCGAAGTTGAGGTCAAATGGATCTCTAAAGTTTTCAGATCTAGTACCCGAAAACTTGAGGTCCAACTGCCGAAGTTCCGGTCAGACATCTGAAG